CTCCTAGATTGTTCATTTCAAAATTTCTCCAATTGTCATCTCTAATATTGTTTTTTTTTTTTTTTTTTTTTTTTTTTTTTGTAGGTAAATTAAAGATGGTTGCTGGTGAAGGCATGCCCATGTATAGGAATCCCTTTGAAAAGGGTGATTTGTATATAAACTTTAATGTCACTTTCCCAGCGAATAATTTTGCTTCTGAAGAACAATTAAAGGTAATAGACATTTTACATTTTAGTTCCTATCAGTCTTGAATCTAATTTAGATGTTACTCCCTGCCTTACAAAAAGAAATGTTTTCATAAAGCCTTTTTTTTTTATTCCAGGTTCTGGAAACGTTTCTTCCAGCCCGTCCTCGCACAGAAATTCCCAGTGGTGAGAATGTAGAGGAAGTCAATCTAGTTGAGTTTGATGGTAGTAAAAGCCACGATGCTCTTCATGGTGCCAGGTCTGAAGCATACCATGATGATGATGAAGATGATGGTGGCCATGGACATCCACGCATGCAATGTCAACATCAATAGTGTTAGGCATTGAAACAAATATTACATGTGCATTTTTTTTGTTGTTTTCTGTCAATTAAAGGATAACATAATTCTTTTTTTTTTTTTTTTTTTTTTTACAAATTCCCAGTAGTATTTTTGAGAAGTATGACATTGATAATTTTATTAAGGAATTTGAAGCTGGTAACCTCTCCTTTCTTTTCTTTGTGTTTAAATTATTTGCTCAGAGTTTAGATTTTTTTAAAACCTTTGTCTGAAAATGTATGAATGTTTAGTCTTAAGTTTGTATTTTAACCTAATTGCTTGTTCTGTAAGAATTGAGTTAATCATTCTAAGCTCATCTCTCAACCATGTTAAAAATAAAACTTGGGTCATTGGGTTCTTCCATTATAAACTTTGTGTGGCTCATTAAGTTCACACAGTAAGGCAGTGTGAATAGGAACTCATTGATTTCTGAGCATCATAGAGGAGTTCAATTTGTATGTTTTCCTAGACTGCACTTAAATTTGATAGCTGTTGGGCCATCCAAACCAACAATATCTAAGTAATTGTAACCTTAAGAACTATTAATTGTTAATATTTGTGTATGTGTGGACCAGATTCTTATTGGATGAAAGGCTTGGTGAGTCATTTAACCTAGTGTGTATCTATTCTGTGCTCTGTGGGACAATATTGACCTATGTGATATACAGACATACAACACATGAAACCTCCATGAGGAAACATAATTTTACACATGGGAATATAGAAAGTAGTCATTTTTTTCCCCCTGGTTACTTTGTCAAGTCAACATTTGAAGGTTGAGGTCATATGCTTCCCCAGAATGTGTGTTTGTAGACTGGTAATGAACAACATTTTTTATTCATTCCTTTGTGTATTAAAATTCATTAAAGGTCAATATTGAATATAGAAACATAAAACCAATTAATGTCTTAAGTTATTTTAAATGACTTTTTGCATGACTGTTGATTTGGCTGTGATTAGATTATTTGTACAAGAAACACTAATAGTCTTCAATAAAAACAAAATGTTGCTGATACCTGACATTTCAGCAGTTCTTTTAATGCAATGTTTAGTTCACTTATTTACTTTGCGATTGAACATGAGCAATGTACTGCACATTAAAACCCTGTACACCCTCACATCTTTATACCACTAGTCTCCACTACTGATAAAACAAAATACGTTTTTATTTTTTGTATTGATTGAGAATAGTAAAGATGGGTAAAAATCTCCTCAAACTAACATTTATGGTATCCAATGAAAAACACAATTCACACCTAAAAACTACTTATTGAACCTGGACTAAATGGTCCAGTAAATACAATAGCTTTGATAAACGATGATGGAATGAGATCATCAGATCCTGTTTAAGTTGACAGGTACAATTGAAGATTCTAAACCAATTATCTTTTCAAAACTTTGTTAAATCTCTCCCGGATTAAGATTGATTGAAGTTTTTGCACATGTGTAACATAGGACATAAAAATGTTTCAACCATTCTTGGAGCTCATTGGTATGAGGTTTCTGCTACTCTCAAAAAGTAAAAAAATTGAAAATATGTTTATACATATCTACATACTCTTCCAAAATTATTATATTCTGAACCCTTAGAAAAAATTTATTTATTTTGTAAGCAAAAGCATCAAAATAAAATTTTATAAATGTCCATAACTTATTAAAAACTTTATGGTATTGTAATTGAATTAATAGTAGAGTAAAATTCAGCAAAATATAAGACTAATTAGAGGGAAATATTTTGGAGCAGACAAAATCAATGTTTGGTGATGTCGACCCTGGGAAAATATAATATATAATACAGACGTTAAGTTCAAAAAAGAAGATGGTTATGTCCTACATGTCATCCATATTTACCAATGACCTAAATTCTGCTAAGTCACTGGTTTTCCTGGCTACCTTCAGGCAACCCATTCCATGCTCTAATAGCACTAGGGAAGATGGAGCATTTGTAAAGATTTGTCCTAGCATATGGAATGAGGAATGTGCCGTTATCTTTGTGTCTTTCTGAGTGTTTTATTAGATTTTGTATTTAAAGATAATGGTTCAGTGTTTTATGTTTAATAGCTACTTTACTTTTGAGTCTTCTATTCTGAAGGCTTTCTAAATTTAGTGATTTTTACTAAAGGTGTTACTCAAATTTGAATAATCATTTGTTATGAATCTCACTGCTTTATTTTGTGTCCATTCCAGTTTCTTAATGTTTTCTTGAGTTGAGGGGTCCCAAACAGAGGATGCATCTTCTATTATTAGCCTAACCACTCCTTGAGGTGGGCTTGACAATGAAAATTTTATATGAGATATCAGATATATTTGTTACAGATTTTTATTAAATAATATACATTTTTACTATTTGAGCTATGAATGGTCCTTATTTTGAATACCTTAGCTGTATAACATTTACATGATTAGGTACAAAGGAGAAGTTACCCTTGAGGGTTTATGGGCACAACATGGCCTAAATTGTGCCTATAGGCCAAAACCCAAAATATCAAATATTCAATAGCAATAGTATGTTTTGCTGAGACAGGCTCATACAACAAAAAGAAAATTTAGACCTGAAGTGGACAACAGCTTTGTCTGCATCAGATTTGTTAAAACATGCTGATCGCAACTAGGTTTGCATGGCCACATGAAATAGATGAATTTGGAACTCCAAAACAAAACCAGAACCTTATGTTGTGCCATTCAATGAAACATTTTTTGAAGTAATCAAATCAAGCATATTTTGGTGACGTGATAGTCCCTCTCTTTCAGACCTAGTGTTCTATATGATGATGATGTAAAGGTTATCTATATCTGTAGCCAAGGATGTCATGTGTCCAGCACAATGACCAATTTCGGATACCCATTAGAGTTTGTTGAACTCAGGGGTGCCTTTAAAATCCTAAAATTAAAAATAAAATCCCAGTCTTCATGATGATTTGAACCCGGGACCGCTTGGTATGGAAGCTAAACGCTTTACCATGCGACCATCATTGCCCCAGACATGTTAAGGTTAAGCTATTTGTCCAGATGTTCTGTTTCCAAACAAATAGATTGAATATGATACTAGCTATTAAGTCTGTTATTAGAATGAAATACTATACACAATATGTAGACCTACACCACTGACTACAGATGAATATGCAATCCAAAAAATAGTTCAAATGACAATGAAAACATTTTTTATTTTTGGATGAATTCATTCTTCATATCATGAATTAGTGAATATTCATATACAGCATCAAGAGTATAACAAAACCATACTCTTCATGTCCAAGCTTCAACAAACACAAATAATGCCATTCTCCATATAACTTAATGGAGTTCTCGTACAGACAAATAAGTAAAATGCAAAGATCCAACTTCCAATCATAATGTGTGCAAGAAGGTAAAGGTCATCACAAGGAAACTGATGACTGAACACTGCTAGTTAGGGACCATAAGTGAAGATGTAAAATAAACCCGTTACCCCTGGTTACTGGCAGACTTGGAGACAGGATGAGTTGAAGAGAAGAGAGCTCATGCAACAAAAGTAGACAAAGAAATACACCAAAAGTCATACAAACAAAAAAATAGTGTCATAATTATGATGCCAACTTTGAGTACTTTTGGAACTCAAGTCAGTTAAAACAATTATTTATGAAACACATTTCTGAAAAAAAAAAATGTCAGCAATTAAATTTCAAACTTTGAGTGTGAGGTGAAATTTCATTTTTAACATGAAAAGACAACATTCAAATGTGTGCCAAAGACATTTAGTCTCAGTGTGTCTAACAGACATTCAGTCTTTTTGTCCAACAGTCTCAGTGTGTCCAACATTGTCTCAGTGTGTTATTTCTATTTCTTTGAGTATTTTTTCAAGAGACTAATTCTTTATGGAAGTATTTCCCTTTTTTACTTTTATTTGTACCCTTCCCTCGTTATAAACACACCCAACATACAAAGTCAGCAGCTAGTTAATAAGGCCAGCAATGTCATCAAGTTAAAGCATAACATAAAACAGGAAGTAATCATTCCACATCTACAGTGTAGACATTACTATTATGCTCTTTAAGTTAATGTAGACTAATAGCTTTGCATTCATTCACAGAGGATCTCCCTTTACAAACTCTTCCAAATATGTCCTTTCATACACACTAATTAATCATTTGTGTACAATTTAAAAAGAAAACAATTAAAAAACTAGGAAGACATTGAAAATAATAAATCAAGGCATGATAATCATAAGTGAAATAAGATAAGTGTTCAATCAAAGTACTATTGACTAAAATATTTAGGACTTACAAAAGCAAAGTCTACTTTGGATTCTTCAAACATACATCTAAGTTCTTACCCTGATAGGTAGTTCTATTCAAATGGACATTTGTAACTCACTATTGAGTAAACAAGTTGTTGAACTGTTCATAGAACAAAACAGTCTAACTATACAAGGCAACAAAAAATGTCTTCAATCCACATTACTGCAGACGACTTAAATGAAATATCCATTATTTAAATTGTTTAAAAATTCTTATTTCATTTTTACTTGATTAATGTTCAAATCTGAATTAATAACAATAAAGCTACAAATAAAAGATTTTTAGTCTTAAAAAACAACAGATCCTGTTTGGGCCCCTCCCTTATTAGCAAGAAACACTGCCCCAAGATCACCTGACATCACTTATTGACTCAAATCACTTTTAGGAAAATGCTGTCCTGTATCAAGAAGCCTATATGTGTAAATAATATACAGGTTTCTTAAAATACAGTATCAAACAAATAGTTCAATCTTTTCTTTTTTATTGATCATCTGTAAATTGTATAAGAATGGAAATAATGATTTTTTAAATATATTTTTTTAAAGTAAAAAAGTTATATCTTTCTGAAAGCATAATATTCAAACCATAGACTTGTATATACTATATCTAGACTGGGCATGGAGATTTTTTAACACTACAAAAAATGTAGTGAAATTTTTTTAGAAAGTTGGATCAAGGCATTGTTTTGTAAAGTAGTTAAAAGAAGTAATAATTTAATTCAATCTATTTGAATTGTGATTTTGATTGCGTAATTGAACATCAAAAATACACAATCAAAATCACAATTTTGTGTTGCATTCAGTCTATTGATAAAGAAGTAACATTTAAATAGATTGATTACCTAGATCTGTCTAGATTATGTATCTAAAAATTGCAAAATAATAATTATGAGATGAGAGTACTCTTATTTTTGATGTTTAATTACTAGATCTAAAATTAAATTATATGTTACATAGGTTAGGGTTGAAAAAAAACAACTTTAATTCTTTTAACTACTTTACAAAACAACGCCTTGATCCAACTTTCTAAAACATTTTCACGATCTATCAATCGTGGATAAGAATTTATTTCCGGTTTCCAGTCTAGATATAATATATGTCTATGATCCAAACTTTTGAATATTATATAATAGTGAAACTTTGGTGAAATTAAAACGAAGTCAAATCAACTTTTAATTTTAAAAAAGTTGACTGCTTTTGAGAAAAACAAGAATTTTAAAAAAATGTAAACAACAATTCAAAAAATAAAACATAAGAAGTTCAGTTCTCTAAGTATCAATGTACACTAAGTGTTACATACACACAACAAGTTAATGCATTATATATGGTTTACACACAAAATCTATGTATCATTACATACTAAGATTTACTAACACACAACATAGAAACATTCTTTCCTATATTAGTCTAACATTACATAAAAACCAATGGGTTCTGTGATGAAAAAAATAGTGTATGACTAACACAGCCTAATAACAGCCTTAGTTTTCTTCATGTTTTGAGGAATCAAAATAAAAAAGTGCCAAAGAGATAACTGCTACCAAAATATGTGTTATCGTTAGTGAATCCCCTAAAGGTTCAGTTTTTTTTATACAAATAGTTTTTTTTAGAACATATGTAGAAACATTTCTTCCCCTTCTCTTTCAGTCAAGAGTGCATACAACAAATAAAATGCAAACAGCAGCAAGTTGAAATGAATTTCATAAAAAGGTTTCTTAGTAATTCTTAGACAACCATGACACTTCTAAAGCCATTCAAACTTTGTACGAGCACTGGCTGATATAAGATACCTCCACAAAATATCATGACTTTTATCAGGTCCAGATGGACAGTTAACGTGGTGAGTATCTCAAACCCAAGTTTTTGTATTCCACTAACTCAGATTCAATGACTTTCATCTGTAGCTGGTGCTCCTTTTGTTTCTGAGCCTCACTAGCAAAGCTGAGACTCTCAGGGCGTGTCTGGGGCTGAGACGGATTGTTTTTAAGTTTGATGTTCACTGTGTGAATTTCGTGACATTTGGTGAATTTCCTCCCTTTGTTGATCACACTCTCAAATGCACTCCACACATAGTTTCTGTGAGTTAGATATATTCGAAAGCCGTGGTCGTAAACATTTCTCAGTAGACCCAAATACTGTAAAGATAACAAAAACGTTTATGAAAAAATGTTTTTTTTAATGAGACACCACAAGACATATACTGCCAAATTTCTTAGTTAAACTTTCAATGCAAAAAAAAAAAAAAAAAAAAAAAAAAAAAAAAAAATGTAAACAAAATTCATGAGCTAGAGTTCAAAATAAGAAGACTTACAGTAACAGTAAGTGTTTATTAATGTGAGCTATTCAAGGGGCATGATGGCTGAGTAGTAAAGCGATTAGCTTCTGAACTGAGAGGCCATGGGTTCAAGTCCCAGTGAAGAATTAGATTTTTAGAACACTACTGAGTCGTTACCTCTCAACCTTATCTTATATAATACAGACGTCACTTCAAAAAAGAAGATGATTACGTTCTACACGTCATGCGTCAATAGAATTTAGCCATGCATTTTAACCAATGACCTAAATTCTGCTGTCCCTGGTTTTTCTGGCTAGCCAACCTGAAATACACTGGCGAAGTTAAGATACTTGGTCATTTTGCTGGCAACAGCACATCCTAGTTAACCATCACCCAAATAGATAAATAGATGAGCTTTACATCATCTGCCCAGATAGATACGGTCTGAAAGGGGTACCCTAGCCTTTAAATGCTACTTAGCAGTTTTTTTTTTGGTATTTATTACTATACCAGTAAAGAGACTTCAACAATTTTGTAGCTCATAATGCACATAAGAACTCAAAATAAATGTCAATCAAATGCATCTCAAAATGTTGTCAAAAAAAACAAGGCGGAAGTAATAATCATAATATTACAATATTTACTTTTCTAGATAATACCAATTTCAAACTTCAAAATCTTTAAAATTGTGCATGTCCATGAAGAGTTATCCATTTTGTTAGATTTAAATACGCAGTTAGAGGGTTAAAAAAAAAAAAAAAAAAACTTTTGTTATTACAAAGTGTTGATCTTTGTGTACTTGTATATCTTTCGCTCCAGATATATGTGTACATTAGGAAAGATTATATGCTTGACAAATGTGTGTGTAAACCTACTTTAATGTATTCTTCTTTTGATGGGTCTGTAGCACTCCAGGTCACATGTGTTTCAAAGGCTAACTGTCGGACATCATCCAGGGATCCATCATCCAAGGCCAGCATTAAAGACTCGTGTTCATATCCTTCAACATCCATCTTGACAATATCAAGTTGTCTCTATTCAACCAAACCAGAATATAGAGAAAAGTGTTATATGAAATCACAATAATCAGAAAGGGATTATAATCAAACCTTAATATTGTTTTTCTATAGCTATGTCCCTTGCCTTATGATAGAACAAGAGCAGAAGAGAAATTAACACCTGAGACAGGGGGCACAAGTGCCTGTATTAAAGTCCACGGTGAAGGAAAAAAAAAAGATTTATAATATATTCCAGTTCAAGACAGTATAAAGAAATGCTTGAAATACTTTGAAGTTAAAAAACTTTTTCAATTTGTTAATTGGAGATTATTTGTAAGAACCCCTTTGTCTACTTTATTATCATTAAGTATTATATAAAATGTTTATCAAAAGGATGAAGCATACAATGAAACGAACCAAAATATCAATTATTATTAATTTATAAGAGCAGTTCTAAAGCCATCTTATAGTCAGTAAAACATGTATTTTCAAAGGCTTGTATATTATATGTAATGATTTGCAGATGAATTATTAGCCAAATGGATTCTCTTTCTCCAACATAACTTCCTTTTCTTTGATAAAGTGAGCAGATAAGAAAAGAAAATAAGTAATATCTTTGTCTTGGCTTCTGAATTTATCCCTTAACCTCAGCAAGTGCTGAGATCTTAAGAGTTCAACTGCATAACAAAGACTTAAGACCACTTTCACACATTAAAACTCATCCACAAAAAAAAAATACATGATGCATCATGGTATTATGTACTTCTGCAAGATGAGTAATGTTCTTGAGATATCCAGAATGACAGTCAAACAAACAACTGTAACCATCTGAAATTGTCTAGTGTTGTGCGTTGAAGCTTCCTTCCACCAGCCTGAAGTGGACAGTGAGTTCCTCCTTCCCCCTGTCCTGTCCGACGGGGGGATGAGACTCGGGGTTCAACTTAGAGTTTCTTTTGTGTTCACTTCCAATGGACACAGGCATTCCGAACTCGCAGACAAGAGACGCAGCCAAAGGCTGCACCACTGGGACCCCCGTGGTATTTGTATACTGTACCAGGCTAACCGTGCGGGAGACGCCATTTATGTAACGACCCCTTGAGGGACAGCGCGTGGAAGTTAACAGATCGCTGCAGGAGCTTTTTTTTTACATCCCTGCACAGTGCAATGGAGATACTCTCACACCCCCTTAGGCACTACCGCTGGAGCCTTGTTTCGTTACCCTTTGGCCTAGTCGTCCCTCACACGACCGTTTTCACCCGGGTGCCACTATGAGGCAGGGCAGCAAGCCTGGGACAACTGTAACCAGATCTAGCTTTGGCATAAGAAGCATAGAAAAAAACAAGGAAGAAGAATTGGAGTGCTGTGAAAGTAACCAAATCCATCCACTTTCCCTGGTCAGCAGCTGTTCTTAACAGGATATCAAGAGAGAGGCTGGTCCATTCTTTAACATTGTCCACAAAGAGTGTAAAAAGTAGAGCAAGATAGGCAAATAACATCAAATGACTTCTTTGCCATTAAAAATATTTCTACTATGAGGATCTCAAAACTTGAGCTAAATAGGGAACTTACATCAGATGACTTCTTTGCCATTGGAAATACTACTATCTACTATGAAGATCTCAAAACTTGAGCAGATTTGAGAGACAAATGAATATAAAAAAAAAATATGTATAAAGTAGACTTTAAATATACAAGACACTCTGAAATTTAGACAGTACAGATGCAGAGAATTTTATTTTTGTATATGTAGAGAGTACTGCCTTACCCAAAATCTAGTTTGGCATGCACACCAACTCTGTGCATTGCCTATAATAAAATGTAATTCTTTGGCTTAAGTATAATGTGCTAGATCAAACTGGGAACAACCTGGTTTGGGAGATGGTGGTGTTGCTTTCGATGCTCAGCAATAGTGTACAGCTGCCACCATCCTGTGGTGGGGTTGTTCACTGTACCATTCTTTGCAGCAACACCAGTGGCATGGAAGTAAAGGTTACCCTGGTAAACATTGGGTGCAGTTTTCATGCTGGGGAACGAATGCAGTGCCATTAAAACAAAAGAAAACAAAATTTACTTCATAGGTAACAAGCTTAAAACTAAGAATATTATCTGTAACCTAAGTCTCCAGACTTATCAGTAGCCTATAACCTATGTTTGGAGCCTTTACTTAAGTCTCAGGATTTGCATGTAATAATTAATCTCAAGTCTTATCTGTAACTAGTAACATATGTCTCAAGTCTTATCTGTAACTAGTAACTTTTGTTTCAAGTCTTATCTGTAACCAGTGGGACAAGTCAAAAGCTTGCTGTCAGAGTCACTCAAACTTATCACAGCATTAATTATTATTTATTATAAATTATTCATTTTATTTTAATTATTTCACAGTTCTATCCCCAATTTCTTCACTCGCCCC